TTTACCCTTTACTTTCCTTTTTCATGGGAAAAATAATCTTTCCGCCAGGGGAGAGAAGAGCCACTTGGGATTGTTATTGTGGGGTTTTCTCCATTTTCTATTCGTAATAGGCCAAAGAGAGGGGTTTTGCCTCCATGCATGGAAGCAGTACCACAGGGCTGGAGGGAAGGTACTCCCCTTGCCAATGCTGAGTCCCCACCCCACGGCCTCTTGGAAAAAGCAGGAACTCACCAAAAAATCACTTCCACGCTGTTATTAGTCATGGTCACCTTGATCAGCAGCAAGCCCTCAGTGCCATCCTTGGCCTCTCCATCTCTGCCTGGCACTGCTCTCTTCTGTTTTGACTGGCCCCCCTGCAGAGCACTGAACCACCACACTGGAATCATGTGCCTTGGCATGTCCCTCGCCCAGCTAGCTCCTCTGCCCCTGTGGCCACCCCACTGCCTGCATCTGAGGGCAGCAAGACATCTGAGGAGTGAGGCTTGATAGGACAGTAACGGGCGAGCGCTTTGCTATGCCCTTGCCTGGTCTGGGCTCTCCAGGTGGCAGAGGGACCCTTGGTCCTAGTCAGGGCTCCAGCTTCAATAGCAGTATTTTCTGGGGGAAGGACTCCTCAAGATGCTGTTCCTCAGTGAAACCAAGTGTTGAAATCTTTTTCAGGTCTTCCGATGTCCTTTCAATGTTTTCTTTGAATTTTCTTGGAAGACAACACCATAGCACCAGACTGGGAGGTTTGGAATGTTTCTTTTTGTTGAAAAAGAGTAGTTTTGCTGTTGGATAAAAGCCTTTTGGACCAGCTGGTTCCCAACAGAATCAAAAGTCGCAAGGACAAGGATGATATAAATGCCTCAGGACAGATCTACACCTGAAGCAGACCAGACATCCATTTGCTGTGGTCATGCTTCGAATATCATTGTGTTGAAGACCAGTGATATATTTTTACCATTTGGCAGGTTCTGCTTGGAAAGAAACACATGGGCTTGTGATCTCATATGCTACAACAGTACATTTGCAGTCAGGAACTCGGCTGCACAGAGCCTGATTCCTTCTGGGTGATAGATGGCCGAGTTCAGGCTGACGGGATACGTGCAGGGCTGTGTGTTAGTGGCAATGCTAAATATTTTTTATTTGACAGTTTCTTTTGGTGTGTGGAAATTGGGAGTGCTGCTCGTTTCAGCTCTCACTGGCCACACCAGCACACCACCAGCTCAAGGTGCTTTTGGAGGCCATTTCACTGATAGTCCTGAGGCCTCCTATCCCCACTGCAAGGACGAAGCACTAGTGACCAAGCACATCCCCAGCACTGCTAAATTTGCCCATCTGCACACACAAAACTGGGTTCGCATATGAGGCCAGCAACAGCAGCCAGGGATTCTCCATCTCCTGAAGGACCAGTGATCAAACTGGTGAGTCCCATTTCTCCCCGCTGCGAGCCGGCGGTGGGCACGTGTGTAATGCAAGAGAGAAATTAGGGTAGTGCCAGTTCCCCATCACCCAAGGATCAGGAGTTTCCACAGCTGCTTCTCGCAGGCACTGCTATAAAAATGTCTGTGCTTGGCTGGTTGCGATGGGAATTGCCATTCATCACGGCGTGAGGGGGCTTAAGCTGTCTCAGAGCAAGTTGTCAGTTAACCAACGCTTAATGTAGAGCAATCTGATCAGTACGAGACATGTCCTCGCAGCTAAAAAGCCTTAAACCTTTCAGATGCAGCAGCTTCTGAAGTCTTCCAAGATACCTTCTGCACTACTCATTATTATCTTCCTGCTGCTGTGAGGGAGCAGTCAAGACAGGCACTTTGTGTTCATTACCCAGCGTAATACTCACTGCCCTATTTAATTAATGCTTAGAAAATGTACTTCATGAATTATAAGCTACCGGGGAGGGATGGGGAACACAGAAATAGATTAACATTGGCTGATCTCTTAGACTTTTTCCAAAATGATTTCTCTGTTTTTTACACTCAAACAATTCTTGTGGGGTGTCCCCCCCCCTGCTTCTTGCAGGCACCTAATTTCTCATATAGCAACAGTTGTTGGCTATCAGGAAACCTCTTGTAGGAGCCACTGGAGGCAAAGAGGTTTGTTGGCTGCATTGCAAGAGGTGTAGTTAGTGGAGCAGGGCTGTGGGACACGTTGTACTGCCTGTTTCTCTGCCCAGCCCATCCATTCTTTCCTGGATAGACCAGCTTCACAGGCACACAGAGGGATGCTGCTCTCGGGGGAGTCCTCACCAGAAATCTGAGAGTTGCCCCTTAAAACTGATGGTCTCGAAACACCCCGTAAGAAAGGGCTTATAAGCTTAACAAGCAAAACAGACAGAGTGGGGCAGAGGAGGGAGGGAGGAATATTTTCTAAACTCAGCACCACAGCACCAAGCAGCTAAATGTTTTTCTGAAGGGCGCAAAGGAAACCTGCGTCCAAGTCAGGAATTTAACCCTGATTTTTTTGCTTGGTTCATTGCCTTAGCAGCTGGATGCTTCTTCCTGCCTCCTTAGTCACTGACATTGGTCATTGTAAAGCGCGGTTTCCTTCCCCATATTTGGAAAAGGTGGCAACAGGAGGAGGGTCTGACAGAGATTCATGATCAGTGCAAAAAACATGTCTTTCCCTCCCCTTTCCGTTGTTGCAGCCCCAGCTGTGAATTCAGGGGAGTCTGCTCCGGTTCCGAGCTTGCCACACGGAAAAATCCCACTAGAGTTCTCTCTGCAAATCTGTTTTCTTTCAAGTAGCACCAATTTCCTGGTGCACATGGTTTGCATTTGTCTGGGTGCGTGTTGTGAGAGCCAGTAGCTCCCCAGCACTCTCTCCACTCTGGAGATGACTGGAGAACTGGGATTTCTTTGTGAGGATGAAGTATCATGTGCAGGCTCCGAGAGACTCAGTTTTGTACAGAAAATAATCTGCGTACCTCTATGTGGAAAGCCTTGGGAAAGATCCCTGCCGCCTTAAGAAATGCAATATTGCCCTCTAGTGATGATGAGGATGGTCTCGTTGGATCTGACAAAACAAAAAGCATTTTGGCTAACCTTCCCTGGGATTCAAAAACGGAACAAGTGTTCCTGTTTTCTTCTGACCCAAGAATTAAAGATCCTACGGTCACAGCTCAGAGAGCACTGGTGGTGGTGATAAGCAGAGGATGTTCTCCAAGCATCCTAGAATGTGTAAAAGTATCATGTTTCTCCATGAATTCAGCAGATGGAAAGCCAGCTGCACTCAGAGAGCAGATCTAGTAAGAAGGTTCCTTTTTGTGTGTGTGTTTCTAAAGCCAAGTATATTTTTATTTGCCAAAAAAAAAAAAAAAGAGAGGGAGTTTCAAGGGCAAGACAAGGACAAGAGGTGAAACCCAACGGAAACCAGAAAAAAAAATTTAAGAAAAAGTTGAAATTTTGTGCTTGATTATCCTTATATTCAACTAATTATTTGTTTATTTTTTCATTTCTCATTTGAACTTTTGCGGGGGGGGGGGAGGAAGGAGAGATAATAGCGGGGGTGCTTCAGCAGATGAACAAGAAGAGAAGAAGAGATTAAAATGTTTCTCTCACTCCAGCAAGCAAATAGTTGGTTGTATCTGTCAGGAAATAAACTGTTTTGAAGGGTCTTCAGGAGACACTTGGGAGCACTACAAAGCTCTGACCTCTACCCCTAAGAAGGTCACATTTAAGGCCCTCAATTCTGCAAATAGCTTGACGTGGACAATCCTTCCAGCGCTTGTGTGAAGCCCCGGGGGTGTCTGTGGGTCTCTCAAACAGTAGGGTCAGGCAGAAAGGTTTCTCTGTAACTGGACCTCGCATCTCAACCCAGATTTCTAAGGTAGCTCGGTTTTTGAAGTCCCCAATGCAGACAGCGTTTCCCTGGCACCTTCCCTATACTAATTGCCTCTGACAAGGCACGATAGTACTGGAATTTATGTAAGGAACTTTGCTGCCACTGTACTGCAGCTTAAAGATCACTGTAAAACAGGGTGGACAGACATGGTTGGGGTTTTTTTCCTTGCTTAAAACACAAAGTAAATGCAAAATTCACCTTAATAATTCACTGAACTTTTCCAGGCTTCCTCTGTCACCATAGGAACATGCAACATACTTATATGTAACAATCAGTCATTAACTTTGACAGTATCCTGGGCTTTTTCCCCCAGAAAGGTCACAAGGCAGAATTAAGGGCTGGAGTCAATTCAAGCCACTGGCAAAACTCTCATGGAGTTCACTGCCAAAGGATCAAACCTTCAAAGCAGGCAGGACATGGAGTACTGAATTGATTCATACTTACCATGGCCTTTCAACATAATTGCAAATATTTGGGGTAATCAGCCAGTCCAAGAGAGTTGTTTTTTCTAACACTGAGAGTTTGGGTTCATCAGCTTTCACTGAGTTCTGAGAAATCAGCTCAACTCAGGAAAAAAAAAATATTCATTATTGACACTCCCAGTCATCCCCAGCATTGCTACTCACAGTACTGGTAAATTGTGCAAGGTACTTATCTATTGCTGGTTGCTTACTCTGTGACCATGGCTGTTACATGCTAGCTGCTAAAATATGTAGAGAAGCCTTTATAAAATTTGCCTCATGCAGATCTAACATGGACAGGGATGGTTCTGTCAGTGAACATCTTACAAGATGCAGGTCAACAGCACAGAAACAGGCAGGTTAGGAAAAGGAGTGAAGAAGAAATGCCAAAATGTGATGGAGAACGAAGGGGAGAACAAGCAAGCAGAATATAGGATTATTTGGAGTTTAAGAGCAAAACAAAGGATTATTTTAGAAACAAAATCATCCACTTGATGATACAGTTCCTTTGGTATGGCTGGGGTAGTGGTGACTGATCACATCCTAGAGCACGCACAAGCCTCTTTCATCACCCCAATCTGTCACAAGCAGAGAAACTTCATTTTTAGTATACTCATCATGACACCATTGACCACATTTTCCATATAATGACTGCATATTTATATTTTGCCCTAGTTCCACCTTGTGTCTCACCTCTCTTGCTTTCCCTTTCAGGTTCTACATTGAAAGCATCTCCTATCTGAAGGACAATGCCACCATTGAACTGTTTTTCTTGAACGCCAAGTCCTGCATCTACAAGGTAAGGACTCAGGGCTCTGGGTGGCACTGGAGTGGGCTGAGACACCTGGTTCTGCATCCCCTGACCCAAAATTTACATTGGTCACAGCTGGACTTCGAGACAGAGAACAGAAGGCTCTGGGGAGACATAGTGGCCTTCCAGTATCTGAAGGGGGCCTACAAGAAAGGTGGGGAGGGACTTTTTACAAGGGCATGTAGTGATAGGACGAGGACTAACGGTTTTAAACTGAAAGAGGGAGATTTAGATTAGATATTAGGAAGAAATTCCTTGCTGTGAGGGTGGTGAGACACAGGAACAGGTTGCCCAGAGAAGCTGTGGGTGCCCCATCCCTGGAGGGGTTCAAGGCCAGGCTGGATGGGGCTTTGAGCAACCTGGTCTGGTGGGAGGTGTCCCTGCCCATGGCAGGGGTTTGGAACTAGGTGATCCTTAAGGTCCCTTCCAACCTAAACCGTTCTTCGATTCTATGATACGTCTTCCTCCTCCAACCTTCTCTCACTCCTCTGCCTCTAACTTCCCTGGCACATGGCAGGAGCTTCCCTGTGGGAGATGGGGTCTGAGGTAAAACACCCTTGGAAGTAACTCTTGTGGTTGGCAGGAGGGAATCTGCAACTGCTAAAATTATAAACTGGCCTGTATTTAGAAGGAAACGGTTTGGTTTTGTGTTAAAATCCCGCGGCTGGTGGTGCCCGCGGGTGGATGCCGTTCGCGGTTCCTGCCCGAAGAGGGCGCCAGTGGCCGCGCGGGCTGCGGGGCGGGCGCCATCTTGTGGGGAAGGCGGCGGGGGAGCGGGAGCGTTGGGGAGGGCGTGAGAGGTCAAATGGTGTGTTTGTGAGGGCGACCGTGTGCGAGAGGGTGTGCAAGGAGAGTGTGAGACGGTGTGCAAGGAGAGTGTGAGGATGCGAGAGGTGGTGTGAGTGCAAAAGGAGGAGTAGGCATGGGGGGCTGAGTGTGGGAGGGATGTGGGGGCTGCATGAGGGCAGGACTGTACTGTGAGAGCTTGTGCATGTGTGAGAGCGTGTAAATGTGTCAGGGCACACGACAACACGTTTGTGACAGAGTTTGTGGGAGGGGGAAGTGATGGATGTATGGGAGGTGGGGAAGGGTGTCTGTGGGTGTGTACGGAAGATTGTACAGGAACAAGCCATGCATGGAGGAATGTTTTTTTGTACCAGAAATAGCCCTGCCTGGTAAGCTATTGAAAACACCGGCGCTGTAACTCAGAGCTGCCCCTTGCAAGGCACTCTGTGTGCCAGAGATAAGGCTGTCCTGGCATGGCCTCCGCTCCCCTGGCAGGGCTGTGGAGCTGATCCCTCCGATGCCACAAGCCAAGCCTGCAAGTGAAAGGGCAAGGTCCAGAAAATTAAGCGGGTCCAGAAAACGAAGCAGGCCCTGAACCCGCTGAGGTGCGTGGAGGCTGGCTGCATGCAGACTCAGCCAGGTGGGCTGGATGTGCAGGTCTGGGAGAGGTTTTTCCAGCAGCTGGGATTCCCTGGGAGGATCCCTCCTACCTCCCTGTGTGCTTTGGCAGAGGCCATTCCCAGTGAGTCACCTCCGTCCGCCAGGGAGGAAGAGGTAGGAAGAGAGAGCTGTGGCCAGGGAATGTTTGCACCACCATCCCTCAGCAGGTTTGTGACCTGCGCAGACACCTTACACCAAATCGAGCCTCGTTTTCTGACATCTGCATGTCCTCAAATGGAGGGCAAAAGCCCGAAAAATGGCGCTTTTCTTTTTTTTTTTTCTTTTTTTTTTTTTGTCCCAGTGCCTGGGAAAGAGGCAGGGTTGCCGAGCTGAGCTGTGCAGAGAGCTTTTGCTGCCCGGGAAAGAGGCAGGGCTGCCGAGCTGAGCTGTGCAGAGAGCTTTTGCTCTCTGGCAAGGCTGCAATTAGATGGTGCTGAGTCAGCCCTCCCCAGCAGCAAGCTCAGTGAGCATCATGTTTTGGTTCCTGGGGGGGTGGGGGAAGTTCCTTTCTGGAATATTGCCAGGAAAAGCTTACACTGTTGTTCTTTTTTTTCGGAGAAAGCTTAATCAGAAGAAGAGGGGAAAGAAAAAGGAAAAAAAAAAAAGTGCCTGCAGATCTAGGTTGGTCTATTTTAGTCTGACCTCTCCTGAAACCATTACTTTGCACATTCGAGCTGACTCTCATCTCCATCCAAAAATAGCCTTGCTGGCTTCCCAGTCTCCCATGCAGGTCCTTCCCCTGTTTGACTTCCAGCCACGGTGCTATTAAAAAAAGGCACTGAATTTGAAAGTTGGGTGCACAGTCTGTGCTAAGACACGGTGTTGATCTAAGTGTAGCTCATAATGCTGTGCTAGCACCTCAGGCCCTCAAATGTCCCCACGCACGGGGCTGCTCAAGTCGGGAAGGAAGACAACTGAGGCCTGTTTAGTTTGGGCTGCTGGTCCCCTGGGTTGCCGCTGCTCAAGGATGAGCCCCTGTTCCGAATACAGCTGAGGTAACCCCATCTGGGACCAGGGGAGCGAGGAAGAGTGTTTAATCATAAAATCATAGAATCATATGGGGTTGAAAGGGACCTCTGGAGATCATCTAGTCCAACCCTCCCGCCAATGTGGGTCCACCCAGAGCAGGTTGCACAGAAACTTGTCTAGGTGGGTTTTGAATGCCTCCAGAGAAGGAGACTCCACCACCTCTCTGGGCAACTTATTCCAGGGCTCTGCCACCCTCAAAGGGAAAAAGTTCCTCCTCATGTTTAGGTGGAACTTCTTAAATTCCAGTTTGTGCCCATTTCCTCTTGTCCTGTCCCTGGGCACCACTGAAAAAAGACCAGCTCCATCCTCCTGACACCCTCCCTTTAAGTATTTGTAAGCATTGATCAGATCCCCCCTCAGTCTTCTCAAGACTAAAAAGACTCAAGTCCCTCAGCCTCTCCTCATAGGAGAGATGCTCCAGGCCCCTCATCATCTTTGTAGCCCTTTGCTGTACCCTCTCCAGCAATTCCCTGTCCTTCTGGAACTGGGGAACCCAGAACTGGACCCAGTGCTCCAGATGGGGCCTCACCAGGGCAGAGCAGAGGGGCAGGATGACCTCCGTCGACCTGCTGGCCACACTCTTCCTGATGCACCCCAGGATGCCACTGGCCTTCTTGGCCACAAGGGCACATTGCTGGCTCATGGTCATCCTATTGTCCACCAGGACTGCCAGGTCTTTTTCCTCAGAGCTGCTCTCCAGCAGGTCATCCCCCAATCTGTCCTGGTGCTTGGGGTTATTTCTCCCCAGGTGCAGCAACCTACACTTGCCCTTGTTGCCCAAGAGAGAAATCACAAGCTATACTGTGCCACGTACCCTTAGGGCCAGAGAACGGGCTCTGAGCCACTTCACCTACTAGTGTAGACCTGGTCATAACATCGACGTATGGTTGCAGAGGCTGGTTTGTCCGCATGATGCCTGGTGTTTCAGAGAGGGGAAGGTTGGGGACTCTGGTCCTACTCCGCATTGCTCCTCGCTATGGAATATGCCCCATCCCAGCCCTGCCTGCAGCTGAATCCACACCTCGCTCCAGCCGCTTCCCTTGGCAGATGAACGTTGTTGGTGCAGGTGCCTGCGTGAATCAGGCACTTCAGCTGAACCAGGGAAGGTGTGTTTATTGCCCGCAGCGGAGCTGGTCTTCGCTCCCCAATGAGTTGTTATGAAAGAGGTGAAGGAAGTGCTTAATTTTAAAAAGCTGGCACTGGTGGAGGCCAAGGACACCTGGATCCTATCCTCTGTTTTGTTCCTTTTGTTTTTGATTTTGCCAGAGACAAGCCAACGCAGCGATTGTGGCTTGTAAATGAGGTGTGGCCATGGCTTGGCTGGAACACGGATCGTTGCAGTGATCTATATTTAGATCGCTGGTTCCTTGCCAGATGAAGTGGAATATTAAAAAACAGCAGCTTAAATAAATAGAACAGAAAAGTCACCACAGGAGTGAGCTGAAGTGACCCAGTGTATGTGGCCACATACGTAGGAGACAACATAGGAGATCTAGTTGTAGAATTGAGGCATAAACAGTATCTCAGTAAAAGTCCACTCTCTTCCCAAACGCTGACACTAGTAGGGACCAGAGACTTGAGGAGAGCACACTTGGCCACAAGATTAATGCTCCTGCTTTCTATCCCAAGCATGGAATCATAGAATGCCTGGTTGGAAGGGACCTCAAGGATCATCTGGTCCAACCTTTCTCGGCAAAAGCACAGTCCACACAAGATGGCCCATCCGCATCCCACACATTCAGTTGGAGCAGTGCCTGGACCCCTTGGTTCTGTGACCTCTCAGGCACAGAGGAAGGACCCTGAAGGGATCTTATGGGACCATCAGTGTCCTTCATGTGACACTGTCCAAGGAAAATGCTCAGAATTTCACCTGACCCTCCCAAGATTTGCTTTCATCCATGGCTGGATCCTATAGAACGGAGCAGTGAAGATCTACCAAAAGATTTGCTGTCACAGCTCGTTCTCAAAGCTACCCCAGCCCCAGTACTCACAGGGATGAAAGGGCCAAAAGCAGAGCTCCCATCCTACAAGAGATAATTTTTCTGCTCTTGTTGCTGTGAGTTTACCCTGGGCAAGGGCCAGAGGAGTTCTGGGGGTGCTTTGACACAAGTTCAGTGAAGACAAATTTTCTCATTCCCTTGCTTCTCTCAGCCAAGGTTAAGGCTGTGTTCCCCTGATGCATGAGTGGCATCTGTGGGAGAAAAAAAATGTATTTTCCAGACTACCTTTCACAAAATCACACAAGAAAATAAAAATTACCCCGATCCTCCCCCTTCCACCTGTCTTCTCCTCCCTCCTCCCCAGGAATCCCTTCATGCCACACCCAGTTATGCTTCATTTACCAAGACGTTACGCTGAATAATTGGCTTTCTCCACATCTGAGTGGGCAGGTTCTCCCTCACTTTGGTCTCTGGGAGCACAGGGAATGCTTTGAAGCCCAGCCAGGGGAGAAAACTGGCAGTAGCCAGGAGGTGATGCACGTTGCTCTTGCAGGAGCTCAAATGGACTCAACTCTCTTTTTCTTTGTTTTCTTCACCTTTCAAGGAACTCATTGAGGTTGACAGTGAAGTGGTGTTTGAACTGGCTGCATACATCTTGCAGGTAAGCACCCATCTTCTCTCACTTTGTGCTTCCTCATGTTGCATTAAATTCCTTGACTTGTCAAACCCAAAATAGCGGTATGGAAGTGCAGGCGTTCCTCCAGTTGCAGGAGAAAGACATCTTTATGAGGTTTTCATCATTTATACCAATGCAAAATAAGTGCAGCAGGCTCTTAAATCAGACCTCACACATGGAGCAGATTCCACTGCTCAACATTTTGCATATAAATGTGTATTGTGTTTGCACCAACACAGATATCCGAGACCCTGGGCTATGACGTAAAGACAGAGAAAATTTGAGCGATAAGTGTAATTTCCTAGGTAAAATCCATACACCGTGGATTCTTCTCCAGTGACTTTGCATCTGTTTTCCCAATGGATTTTGGCCCTCTGATGATCTCTGTAAGCTTCTATAAATGCCACTGTCGGCATTCTCTAAGATGAGCAAGGGGCTTAAAGACTTTCCCAAAAACTTCTCAAAAAAAAAAAAAATTAAATTCTTTTGAAGTCCTTCTCTTCAGGAAGAGGGAAGGGGTCAGAGAACGAATTCCCAACAGCGTTTGGTAAATCTCTGATTCCCAAAGAGGAATCTTTTCAGGGTAGCAGAGGTGGCTTTTTGTGAAAAATCTCTTTTTAGGAGTGTGACTGTGGGAGCAGGTCAGAGATAATTGTCAGAAGATCTTTGTTCCCCTTTCGTACAGTGTAGTTTGGATATTTTTTTTTCCCATCGGCCATGAAGCTATGAGGAGCCATGTGAGCAGACAAGCCATCTGATCAGACTGCACTAATAAATAACAATGCATTGCACTTCTAAAGCACTTTCAATGTTAAAGAAGCAATTAATGCGTAGGGATTTGAATCTTCATTAAAATCATTTTATGTAACAAAAATGGAGCGAGAGAGTCAGGATGGGGGACTCAATTAAAAGCACATTATAGAAATTGTATATTGGCTGCTGGGGGAATACACATCAAACAACAGGCTCTTTGTGAGAAGCAGCAATAGGGGTATGAATCTATTGCCTGCTCACCCTAATGAGTAACTTGAGCTTTGTAATTGTACAGCCAGAGCCAGATCTGCCACTGTAACCCTTGTTGCTGTGATTGTTTCTCATCACAGACAAACACAGGATGTTACGTATATTCCTGTAGTAGTTTGATGTGTAACTTAATGAAAACAGTCAAAACAAGCCACACCTCTGCTGTCTGTAACCAGAAATTACTACAAGCCGTGTTTATGACAGGATCCAAGCAAAACATACTGCGTTTTGTTCTACTTCTCACTGCAGCATCTAGGTCAAAGAACCAAAGTATGGAGAATCTACCCTATAAACTTGTTTTTTAAATTCAGAATGCTCATCCCTGTGCAGGCCAGGGCATATCATTTGGGTTTTGCTCTGTGTTGAACTATAATCATGATATGCTCGAGGACTCCTTCCTGCAAACAGGGGAGAGCTCATCTGGCCCTCAATTCACTTAGAGGGAAATAGGAACATAGTAAAAGACTGTCAGAACTCAAGTGATATAGTCTGCAACCTTATTGCAAATTGTTGTGTTACCAAAACAAATTAAAGCACCACCAAAGCTGAACTTTACCCCGGCCTCAGGACTGAAGCACCACTGGATGTGGGCTGACAGGTTTTGCGGCTGGATGGATGGATGTAAAGACAAAAGACCTGGATGCAAAACTCAGTCCTCTTGGCAGTGGAAACTCCCTCACTGCACAAACTACACTCTCGCACTGTGTTTTCTGTGTAGCTGATGGCAAAGGAGGTGCTTTAAGTGTGCATCATGCAAAATGCATATTGCCTATGGAGCACTGTGTTTTCTGCGTAGCTGATGGCAAAGGAGATGCTTTAAGTATGCATCATGCAAAATGCATATTGCCTATGGAAAATGCAAAATGCATATTACATTTATTGAGGAGGAGACTCACCACATTTTGAGGGTTTGCCAGATATGCAGTAAGACTCCGGTACTACTGGACTGGAACATGACCCAGCCCTTTTACCATCAGGCTGTGATGGTAATAAATAGGAATATCTAGTAAGGGAGCTAAATACTCCCCTAAACACTCAGCAAGGAGTTAGAGAACCCTTTGTCTTGCATCCCCTTGAAAGCTGACTGTGAGCTGGCATTGTGAAAGTCTAGTTACTAGAAAATAATGAGAATAGTTGTACAAAGAGTCAGGGGAGTTGCAGTCTCAGGGGCTCTAAGGTCACTAAGACCTCAGAGACCTTCTAGTAATGTAGCATCCACATTGACCCCAAAAATTGTTTATTTACTAGCATTATTTCCTGCAGGTTCTTGGGTATCCACTAGCAGAATGAGGAATCATCTGGCCCTGTACTAGGCAAACCTTTTGTTTGTTAATCTACCCAGCTCACTGCATCTATCATGGCACTTGAGATTGGATACTGATTCCAAAAAATACATGAGGAATCAATTACAACAGGAAATTGCTGCTAAATTAATTTTGCAAATGGAAAATCTTGAACAGCTGTTTTCTTTATTTTTTTTCTATTTTTAATGACACATTTTTAATTTTTCTTTCCTATTTTACAGGAGGCAAAGGGGGATTTTTCAAGGTATGTAAAATTAAAAGTTTTTTGCCATTGTGTGATGTGAGAATGAATCCGGTAAAATCACTGTGTGAGTGATGTGGCTCAGTTGTAGCTGTGTAGCAACAGGAATGCATCGCTGACATAGACAGCGTGTTTCCTGAAATCATTTCTTCACAAAACAAAGCCTTTGACCAGAGCATGCCTTGCAAACAACATTGTTTGTGACTTTGTTGTTGACAAATCTCTTTATATGCCTATGAAGTTCAGGAAATAGACTAGTCTTCGGAAGGAAATCACTAAGGAAATGACTTTATAATCACTGTTATATCACAGGCCCAGCCAGGGACAACATTAAAATTCCATCACTAATTGATATTTCAGCTTGAATTTGGACAGAGTTCTCATAATCATAATGATTATGAGAATGGTTGGGTTTGTTGAATTTCCTCTGTCCCTTGAGCCAAATCTTCAGACTTGCTGTAAGAAATTCAGAGGCGACTGTGCTCAGTATTTCAGGAAACTGTTAATGAAATGCCTAAGAATTTTCATTTAAGTTGGCAGTATCAGTCAGTTGTACATTAGTAGCAACCAAAGGTCAGATGGCTGCTTGGTTCCTCATATGAGAAACATGAAAGTCCTTCATCTGAAGCCCAGGAGATCTATGCTAAAAAATGCCCATACTCCATATATTGCTTTTGCTGACCTGAATGTGAGTTCAGCTGGAGGACCACATTGAAGTTAGTTTCCAAGAAGAAACAAGATGTGAATGGGCAGTGAGGTTGAATTGCCAGATAAGCCTAAAGAGGTGTCTTAATTTTGTCAGCATCGAGATAACACTGAGAGAAGACTGTAATGATATTCTGTGCACCCATAGGAGGCTGTGAATAGCAGACACTTCTGCCTTCTGGTGGACTGTAACTTCTGGCCAGCTAAAATTGAGACAAATCAGTGAAAAGGAACAATACATTGCAAATATTGCCTGCCCATTGTGGAATCTGAGATGGCATGAGGTAACACTTGCTAAAAGGAAGTTTAAGTTCCTGCCTTATAATTTCTCAGAACTTTAATCAACTTGCAGAATCCTGACATGCATCTCACCACAGAAAGACAAGCCCGGTCTTGCTTCATTTTTCAGTTCCACCCGATTTGGAATAACTCAGCTATCAGCAGTGTTTATTTAGGGGGTACTGGAGTGCATGTGGCTCTTCTACTTCTCGATTTGGTTTTCAATGCATTGCCAAGTGCTTAGCCCAGAAGAGCTGGACCAAGCAGAGTTTTGCCACTCAAACCTGTGATAAACCACCTCTTCCACCAGTTATGCTATGAAGAACAATGTTTAATTTTTCTCAGAATATCTTGGACAGGATGAAAACACGCCCAGAAAGTGTACATTCAGACTATGAAACACGGAATAGAAAGGAATCAGATGGCTCAGGGTAATAGGACTGAAAGCATTTTATCTTAAACTGTTTCCAGACCAGAAGTGGAAACAGCTGGTGGAAAGCATCCATCTGCTAAAACTTGTTTGATGTCCCTTGTAAAAGGGGTAGTTGAGTTTATCACAGTGCATTTCTCTAGACCACAGAGAAATGAGGAATCTTCTCTGAGAGCACAGAAGGTACCTCAGCACATGATGTTAAATGCTTCCTCCATATCTGTGTGGCAGTCTACACCATCCCCGGTAAAACAGTTAGCTCTTAGTCTTTTCCACCTGTGGATCACAGTGCTTTGAAGTGGAAGGGGGAATCCTTACATCCAAGCCAGACAGAGAAGTGGTATCATCATAACAATTTCCTGACACTGCCAGGGATCATAATTTATAAATGGGCTTTGGTGGCAAAGCAATCTGCCATATTAGTGGAGCTTAAAGACGATTCTTGAAGGAATGTAGAAGAATGCTACCCTGACCTTCTATGGTCTAGGAGAAGACTTGGCGTCTCCAGGGATGTCTGTCCAGCAGCTCCCCTCTAATGTGTACTGACACGGGTTTATGTGCTGGGTGAGATCCAGGTGCTACTGAAGTCAGCATGAGGTCATTGTGGTCAAGATTTTGCCTGCTGAGATTTGTGGTTATTCATATCAGCAGTGTAAAATCTGGGAGGCAAATCAAGCCTGGGGCCAGCCAGAAGAACTGCAGATGAGACAAATGGTCTGACTTCTCTTAGGGCTGAAGTTAGCTTCGGTGTTTGAAGTGAGTTGATGTAGAAATGCTGTTTGAAATAGAAGTGGCTACTCTTTGAAACAGAGAAGCTCTGCAGTTGTGAATGTTTTGCTGCTGAGATTTAAAGATAATAAATGTGCGTGGCAGCATACATTGCGTGAAGGCTGAACTCTTGAACTCCTGCTTTGTTTTTGAAGAAATAAGTTAATTCTAAAGGGTTGCATGCTTGGAACGCAGACTGCAGATTTCCCACACCTGTCCTGTCTACTGCCACCATCAGATTTATAGCCTGTGAGACTACAAATTTCTCTTTGGCCGTCATCCAGAAAAGTGCATAAGCACTGGTTCATGCGTAGCGGTGGGAGAATTGCTGTTCCCCGTGGGAGCCTTCCTATGAGTCACTGCTGATCACCTCAGGTGCTGGGAGACCCAATGCCAAATTGTCACCATTTCAGCTGCAGGTTGGTACCTGCCCACGATGGCCAGAGCATGATTTACCTCCAAACCCCACTGCACCCAGGTGGTGGATCACAAGGGGCCGGTTCAGGACTCCTGAATGCAGTGGCAAGTCTGCTTTCTGGGCCTCATGGAGCTCCAAAACCAGGAGTTCTAGCAGTCAGGTGTCTACCTCTGTGAACTGCTGCTGTCACTGCTACAGTGACAACAGGCCCCACTGCTGGTTTTGGGGGAATAATCCCATGCCTCAAAATAATGACCATGCTCATAGTACTACTCTTTCCTTCGCCCAGAAGGGGCTTATGTGCCCTTTCAAGTACATGTCCTACATCCTTTGGTAGGGCATCATCATGCGTGAGTCTCTCAGTGCTGATTCTTGTCATTGAGGAGTACTCCCTAACTCAGGCATCGCAGCAACTGCCCAGTGCTCAGTAAGCCTGGAGAGTGCACTGTCTGAGTCACCCTTATCTGTCTTGAACAGATGCCACAATAGCCCTTACAGATCAGTTTGGCATCTACTGCGAAGAAATTTACTCAGGCCTTTTTCATTTCTAATGTCTGTTTCATTTCAAAAACAAACCCATTAGAAACCCAGAGCTCCTGAACCCATTTAGATCAACTAAGAAAAATGTTTCTCAGTGTTTGCTGTAAGTGGTGTGTTTTGCAAGCAGAGTTGTACAAAGGGCCCATCTCTTACTTGATACAGAAGTAGGCAGAGCGAGGTTTACAATAAAAAGGTTTTCTCCTTGAGAAGTTCCTAGTCCTCTGCATTAAACGAGAGTGGTTTTCACATTATTTAAGAGAAGCCCCAAGTGCTTCAGCTGACAAGACTTAAAAAGGTTTGCATTTAGGCTGGGACATATCACTGAATTTCAGATAATTGAGTATCCCTAGTCAGCTGATTCTCAGGTTGAATAGGACACTTAAGATTTGATCTGTGCTTTTTCTTATTAGTTACAGAAATTTTTACTTCAAAGGCACAGAATCACTCATATAAAGCTCATAAACTAGTATCCTGCAGACAGATGTAAAGGTTATTAACTCAGGCTAATCTTGTTTCTAGCAGGGAGCTGAGTCACACTTGGTTGGCAGAGTGTGGGCAGGACAAATTCCAATTCCTTACATGAGCACAAGTCTTACAGGTGTGACCCTCTTTAGGCCTGCATAGAGGAAGGAAACAGAGTGCCCTGGCTAATTTTGGAGGGGGAGGATCACATATTGTTAAAACAGTTGAGATTTTCCCTCTAAGATAATCCGACTGGATTTAGAGTCCAGTCTAAGATTGACCAAAATCTTTCATAAACTCACACCAACTTCAGTTTTAAACGTTCAGAATCCAGCTTTTCAAGCTTAAACAGCTTCTATGTAAAAGCAGCTGGAAATAACATATACTGATCATTTGTCCCTCAGTTTCAGGAGGAGAAAGAAAAAACTGAGTAAAACATAAAACAAAATCCTGAAGCCTTGCAGCTCGTTCCTCAGACAGGCTCTCCTTGCTAGGTTTCTTCCAGTTAAGCAATATGAGACATTCCGAGTGAACTCCAAGTATCTCCCAGCAACATAAGAAAGAATAACAGGGGAGGAAAGCAAACGGCCAGTTTCCTGTTAAGCAGAATTTCACAATAATTTCAACATTTGGGCAGATGGGAATCTAGCATAGTTTCAGGCTTACTTTTCTTTCTGTGTAACCACGTGACATTAAACCAATTAGAATTTATTAAGAGGTTACGAAACTCAGGCTGCATTCTCGCAACCTTAAAGAGAAGACCCTGAACACTGTATTTCAAATGGTACCATTCCATCTGAGAATATCAGACTCTGTATTTTCTCTGGCATTCAACAGAAATAATTACCCTGCTGAGAACAGTTGATAACTTTACCCTGTGGGTTTGTTTTGTTACTGATCATTGTTATTACACATGCTGGAAAATGTATGGATTTCCTGAGACAACTGCATCTGTAATCTTGCAAATCTGCAAAATTATTGCAGCCAGTTTCCAAAAACTTGTTTTTTACCAAATGCTTATGAAGTGGCTAGGTAGACTTTTACTTCCATGTACAGACACAAATACTGAGATGTGGTGACAAATTTATTTGGCCCAGATTCATTGAACAGGCAGTACTAGAACTAAGACCAGAACTCGGGAATTCCTGTCTTCTAGGTCCATCTTCTAGTCAGTTCACCTTATTTCTGGATATCTAACCAGCTTTCAGGATCCCATGCAGATGGCTTTTCCTCTTCAGTTTTCATACTATTATTCAGTCTCTTAAATATTATAATTTCCACCATACTGCAGGAATAAAGTGGTCTGGAGGACACAGAGAAAGTGTATTTGGAAGCCCTTCCCCTGTATATTAATAAATCTGTATCAAAAGCACCCTTCCATGAATAACAATCCTGCAGGTTGGACACTTTCTAATATAAAATAAATGCAGCACAAGTGACCGGATTAAACAAACACTTTCTAAATACAGTAAGAAAATAAACACACTGAGATATTTCACTAGAAAGAGCGGGAAAGGCAGTAAGTACAAAACCACTTATGATCCTGCTGGAAACGTTTTAAAAATTAAGGGGTTTGGTGTTTTCAAAGAAGCCAAGAGGAAAGTGACCTCATGGCCACTAGCTCAAATGCAACCCAAGTCATTATTTTTTTTTTCCCTTTTCTTGATTTGACATCCTTTTGGGAGTTTAAATTCATTTATATTGAGACGAGTCTTGCCAGAAGACTTAGTAAATATATGGACCATGGAATTAAATACCTTTTTGTTCCTGGAAGTGCTTACTTTTGGTGATTTGAAGTTATGAGGCATTACCTGTATGGTATTTTCTAAGTACTGAGCAGAAATGCTAATCCCATCCAACAACATCATGAAGAATATCTTTTTCTTTGATTCTTAAGACTTTTTACCGTAGTGCAAGCAAGCTTTGCTCCTCAGTGACAGGAAAGACAGAGCTGACTGCTGTTAGCCCTTTCTTTTATGGGAGCCATTACTGATTCAGGCTTTTTCCCAGACTCTCAAAGATAGTTAGTCACCACTAATCTTGCCCTATTTGATGGTTTTCTGGGATCAGAAAGTCCCTGTTTGGAAATTACTCCCTGTCTTCCCAGAAAAGTTTTGGAAATTTCTCAACTTCCTTCTATGAGGAGCCAGCCTCAAAAAATATTCACTTGAGGGCAGTGACTGCTGCTTGTGCTCTGATTGTGCTGGGTTCTTTTTTTTTTTTTTTTTCCCCGGTTTCTTTCAAAATGTCAAAAAACTCAGTAAGAGCTGAGTACGCACGTGCTGTGGAGGAGACGTCTCTGGGCAGACCCAGGGAACTCTGTAAACAGCAACAGCTTGTTTTCTAGGCTGTCAGTCTCAGAGCAGAGTGGCCAGATCAGCAGATAATCCAGAACAGAGCAGTTTCTTGTTCAGACTTGTGCAGATATTTACCTGCTATGGAAGGAAACTTCTGAATTGGTTTTGAGCTCTTGAGCTCACAAAGGAGGATCTATCATCTTATGGTCAAATGCCCGTGAGATTTAGGCGGGAGTGGGTGTTCAAACACTGTTTGTCAAGAGACATTTGACTTGGCAAATGAGGTGCTACTGAGTGGTTTTCTATGTGCTTAAGTGTGGAAGTGGTTGCCTTAGTCCTTTATTGTAAGTGCTGCTCCACACACCTTCATTCTGCAAAATTTGAACCCGACTGGGACTTGAGCATCTCTCTTACAGATTCGTCTTGACTAGAAGTTGTGGTCCTGTTTTAAAACTACTTAACTGATTGTCAGGGAACTCCCATGATAATAAATGCCTGTAAACATACCCAAAATGCCTGCTCCAGGTTTAATGTTAGTGATTTACCCTATGGCTCAACCTAGCAATTAACCTGCAAATGCCAATTAAGAAAAACCCACCTAGGTCTCAGGTAGAGCCTGCTGCTGGGATCTGAAAACAGAGAAGTGCTGTGGGAAGATTTTTACAACATCTGAAGCAGTATCATGTCTCTACAAGCCACCATACAAACTGTCCCAGAGACAAGAGCAAAACTCGGGGTGACCTGGCAGGTCCAAAGGCTCCTTGGGCCTTTAGCAGATGTTAGGATGGCTGGTCTGCAGCTGAGGATGCCAAGACCAACTTGTCTGCCTGGTTAATGGCCCTGCTGGCCTACAGGAGAAGCCAGTGGGCTGGGAAATCTGGAGCTCCGGAAGAAGGATCTCTCTCCACAGCTCCAGGACAGCCACACATTTTGGCAGGATAAAGGGCAGGGTACAAGAAAGCAAAAAAAAACCCTGCTATTAAGAAGTAAGCCAATAAACATGAATTCTTTGGCACTCCTCAGTGTCCTGTCTGGCCCTCTTGGCTGTGTATTTCTACAATTTTAAAAGTAACAGCAACACTGTCTTCCTTCCCAAGCCTCTGAGGGAGGGTTTTTTTTTTTCATGTGCACACAATCCCTTGTGTGTTTAAAAGTGGGAAGAGAGGCATTTTGGGTTTGTAGGAGAAAATCCTATGGTATCATTTCATCTGCAAAAACCTCTCCCACTTCATGAGCTCTCCCTGATCTCTGGTGGGCAGTGATGCTGCACCAGCTAGCCAGTGTGGCCACTAGAGGTTGCAGGAAGGAGAATGCTAGCCAAGTGGCTGGGCCTGGTCCCAGGGAGGGTTTTGTGTAGCAGAACATAAATTCAATCTGGAATCTTATCAGTGAAGATGTTGTGCAAAGGCCAGGTCACTGGGGCAAGAGGCTAAGAACGACCTGTGATGCTAAGAAAGCAAATCATTCCTTTTTGCTGCAGGTTGTAAGGCATTAAATAAAGATGCTTTATTGCAGCTGAAAGCATCACTTTTTCTTCTCTTCCCCTTGTGTGGTTTTTTTCCCTGAACATGTCCGTGGGACCCTGCTCAATAGAATGTGACATGGTGGCTTTTGTGTCCAGTCACTGGTAGGAAGTGCTTCAACATAACCATCTGGGAGAACTTCTCTCCAATTTTGATAATAGAGGGAAAAGTTAACTGGGCTGCCATAAAACAAATAAAGAGAGAAGAAAAAGGAAACCCCAGTGCCTTTTGTTAAGGAGGAACAGATGTAGAGCCGTAGCAGCCTGCCAGCTAGGTCAGGTCATATCAAATATTGTGGTTGTTTTCTTGTAGCCTGATCCTCCTTTTGAACTCTCTTTCAGCAATGAAGTTGTAAGGAATGAATTAAAGAAGCTGCCCGCCCTTCCAACACCAGCGCTGAAGGAGCATCCTTCCCTCGCTTACTGGTAACGTACCATTCTGCTGAGCAGAGCCCTCTGTATGGCATAGCTGAACTAAGAGGGATGTATTTCTCCTTTCATACAACCTAGGTGATGTTCAGAGGTGGAGGCTTGTGAGCTCTGTCTTTATTGCATCTTTATTGCACTGAAAATTAAATCTAGGATAGGAGAAGGAGCGCAATTAAGTTTTGTATGCCCCACACATAGATTCTTTATGCCACCCTGCCTATCCCTTTTATCCGTGCAAATAACAAAGAATTTGGGGAAAGACTGTTCATTAATGGGGAGATGCTTTCACTTGATTTTCCTTTTGTTCCTCTTTCATGTTTGTCTTTAAAGCATTAGGCTACAAGCCTGGGGGTGGGAGTGAACTTCTTTATCTGCTACTCTTTTTAATTTTGGCATCTTGGTAATCTGAGGATGGCACGGAGAAACGAATCAGCTTGTAGTTTCTGATCTCAATTCTTCCCTTTGCCAGGAAGGCCATCCACTTTTCCTAGCACAGCTACAATACCAGAATTAGCTGTACCCTGTGTCAAGCTGTAGGCAAGCTGGTCTGTGAGGTCTCCTAATCACTTTCCGAGCACATCAGGAGTGACTCAGAGTCCCAGGCTGGGGTTACCCACACAAAGCTGTGGATCATCACAGTCTCCTGATATTACTGTCCTAAAATCAAACCAAATCTTTGTGAAAACTTGATTAATGTTGGTAGTTGCTTCACTGGAAGAACAGTCTCCCTGTTTGGAGCATCTCTTTCCTTTTTGCACAAGTTAATCCACACATTAAAAAAAAAAAAAATGTGCTTTTCCAGCCACATTGGTGGCCTGGTCTGCCTGACAAACTTCTCACTCAGGCTAAAAGCCACCACAAGAGGAGGGTAGCCATGGTCAGGGAAGGCAAATCTGACCCTTCAGCAGCAACTTGGACTAAAGTCTTATTCAAGTGCCCACACAGCCTTTCCTTCAGTTGCCTGTGATGGTATCCATACACAGGAAAGCAGTGACAACCCAGGCTGCCTGTCAGGCCCTGTTTGCCCATCAGAATCTGTCTGTCCCCACGGCCACCAAGTGTTAGCCAACATGCCTATCCTAAGGACTTCTGCTGAGAAATATCAGTGAGTCTGGGACAGCCTCTGTCCGTAAGACACCCTCCTTGGGTTTGGGCTGTGTTCAGTCACCTGAAGTGAGAAGAGCCATGTAAAACCTCATGCTCAGAACGTCACTAGTATTTACAGTTAGACACGAGGTACAGCACTTCTCGCAGCTGTACTTAATTTTGTGGGAGTTCTCATGAGACTGAGAACAGGTCGCAGGTTGGGAAGCTGGTGGTTTCCAATGGGGTAGTAAAACCAGTGGCTAGAGTCCTGTGACTCCCTTGTGATTTCACTTGAGTGACCTCTTATACATCACTAGTTCTTTATTTTTTGATGGTGGCTCTTTTGTAAACGCCCTCTGAAACGCTGAATGGTCTCAAGAAGAGGCTGCTGGTGAATCAGCTGAAAAGCTTCTGAAGTACAGATCAAACTTCAGTGATCTAAAAGGGCAGATTTTTAAAACTGGGTTTTCAGACACTTCTGCATGCCATGCAGATTGCATACTGGATACAAATTTCATCATGTTCTTTTCTGTGCACAATCAGTGTTATGCTGCAGTTCTTCAGCATTAGCACAAAGCGGTAACAAGTGAATTTCCAGCTCTGGAAAGAAACATTTAAAACATTAAACTTGAGATGGGTAGTTGCTGTAGTTAGTTTAAAACAAACAAAACACCGTTTGTATAGGGTAAAATGGACTAAATAAATGGGCAATAAAATGGGCAATAAAATGGATAATCGAGTACTAGGATACCTTCAGCAAGGTACTATGATAGGTCTGTATGAAACAATATAAAATTTCCATCACACCTCATGAAAAAGCATCACTTGTTGCTCCTATCACTTGTGTACTCCTATCAAATGTGGTAAGACCAGGGGGATGAATCCTGGATTCTTAGGTGAGCGAGGGATGAATCATCACAGTTTGGTCCCTCTGGCTCTACCTTCACGGAGTCTCCTTATTGCCTACCCTTGCTGCAGGCCTTTCCCTACCCTCTAACATCTTCTTGGAAGCTTGTAGACATCACAACAAAGATGAAGGTTGTAGTTTTTATATCATCAAGTTTTTGTTTCCAGCTCTCTACAGATTAAGAAGAATCAGTTTCACATCTTGTTCTCAAACATCTTGTAGCATCACTGGTTACTGGTGAAGCAAGAAGGAGTTTGGGGTTTCTTTTGTCTTTTAAATGAGAACCTGAGCTTCTGGTCCTCCCGCACAATCTAGGAACTGGGGCTCTGGGTTTTGATTTTTCTTGCCCATGCATGGAAACAACTGACAGTATTTATTATTTTAGACACAACACTAATCACAAGGAGACAGGAGAGAACCTGTGTTAGTACACAGCACTTCTTTCCAGCCATCATCATTGCATTTTATGTCAATTCGGATCCTCCCTAGCAATCCAGCCCAGTACTGGGTTGCCAGTAAGAATGCAAGGAAGAGATGCACCAGCACAAAGTGGATGCTAGAATGGGATTTTCAACAGACCAGGGGGAAGACAGACTTCTCCCAGGTTCCACCAGACTCTGAATGCAAGCTTGTTTCTAGCATCCTAAAGCATCAGCACTGCCAGAAAATCCACCTCTGAAAATATCAGCTGAAAATTACTTTCTCTAATATAGCACAGACCTGAGTCTCTGGTCCTGTTCTTGGTCTCTTTGGCCCAAGAGATGGTCTGCTGGCTTTAGTAGGACAGCATATGACTGCAAATAAAGACATTAGCATGTTCAATAATATAATCAAGATGGACAAGGGTTAGAAACAGAACAACAGTAAGGCACAGCAATGAGGGCAGAGCTATTTGAAACAGCTCCGTGTGCTGGGAAGAGAGGGGAGAAAAAATCACCTTTGAAAATCTGGATCTGATGATGAGCAACTCTGGCCCTGTGTTTCCTTGCAAGTTGTCTGCTGTCCAGTTCTGTAAGCTGCTGGGACAGGAGGGATTTCTTGGTAGTTCTAAAGATCTTTATCAGGGTTGTCTGCTGCGGGATATCATCCATGTACTGATTTCTGCAGCTTTTGGGGGAATGTTTTAAGAGCTGGCAAACAGGCGGTAGTGCTTCAGCAGCCTCCGTGTCGCCACATTAGTTAAGCATCCTCTGTCAGCCCTGCCTTATGAATGAGCTTCTGTGTCACTGACACAGAAATGAGCCAGAGCAGGGGGAGAGGAGATGTCAGCTGGTGGTCCAGGCAGTGTCCCAGCACTCTCCCAGCTGTCCATAACAGCACAGCAGCGGCTCAGGGATGAACAGCTGAAATGATAGGGGAGAATGTTCATAAGCTCTGTTAATGCTCCTTCTGACCCGTGAATGGTTCTGCTTGTTTTCCCTGGCACATGCTGGGCTTACCCCTCTGTCCCAGAGCTGGAGGCAAAAAGTGATCTCTGTGCTGGATGATTCTCCTTGCCAGGGAATGAAAAGGAAGTTCAAAGAACTGTTAGAGGAGCGACTGTCAGGCAGCTGGGTGGGATTCATGAGCATTTCTTCAGTGTAGACCTCTCCATCTGAGCTAGGTGCCCTCAACTCCCTTTACTGTCACGATGAATTCTGTTCTGGAGTATCTGTTTCTTTCCCCAAAGTGTGACTAGCTCAGTGTTGTAGGAAGGTGAAAGGCAGCAAATCTCACTCTTAAATATTCATGACTCGATTGATAATTCAGGCTCTATTTTTTTTGTCCAAAAGTAGAAACAAGGATGATACTTATCTGGCACTTAACATCTGTAGACCTCAAGACATTATGCAATGGAAAAGAAGATCATTAGTATCCTAACGAGGCAATGGAGGTATAGAGCGTGTTGCCTGCATCTGTTTAGGAAAACTGGGTAGAACATGGACTATCCCACATCTTTTAGGATGGGTTGAGAGCATAACTTTATTCATCCCACTGTTCCTTTTGAAGGAGATGAGCCATCGATTGGCTTCCCTGCCCAAGGGGTATGGTCTGGGAACATATCCATTATTTTATACTCATCATTTGTAAGAAAGCAGAGCGCATCCGGAATCACATTAGGTAATCATTGTGTAGTGACATCTATCCTTTCCTTGAATGGCATCAATATGAGAGCTTGATCTGGGCAATAAACTGCACAGAGTGGAAACCAAAGCTAGGACCATTTTCCACTGCAGAAACTCCATTGTTTTCTGAGAAGTCACTCTTAGTTTCTTCCTGTCTGAGACACAGAGGAATTGCATCCACATGTAATCGTGGTTTTAAGAGGTAATTTCAAAGGGCTGTAAGCCCTCTCTGTCTATCTTTTTTATTAAGAATGATGTTTTTTGGAGATCTTCCAGTACTGAACACTCATGTAATTCAGTTATTGCTCCAAAAGTAATCCTATTTATGATAATCATGGCAGGAGACTCGGGCTCTGCCTTCATGTGCACGCCCATAACATCTGTGGTACTTGCTTGGATCGGCGGACTGAATATGGTTTCATAGCTGTTGAATTTATAGCTTACAGGTCGTTTTCTAAGCATTAAAATTATTCTGAGGGATGATTTGATGGGAGAGCTGGACTATTCTTTACCCGTGTGATTTGTCACTGACTCAATCAGCACCCTGTACCCATTTTGGTGTGCTGGTGGGACAACATTTCACCTTGCCCCAGTAAGAGCCCTTTTATTTTCACCAGTGACTTTTGGAGGAAGTCACTTGGGGAGTGAGTAAGGAACGCGGTTACTCTCAGACGAATTACAGGTTTGTGTGGGGAACAGCTGGCCCCACTGACACTCCGACAGACCATCTACTTTGAATTGCTCTGTGCTGTCTACACTGGTGCTTCTGGTCCCCTCCCTTCCTCCCTGCATTACCAGGGATGCCCTGGTCCTCAGCTACCTTGTGCCATGCCTCATGCCCCATCTGTGCACAGCACACCTTGTTTGGCAAGTCACAGCACAGTCTGTCCTTCTTGTGATGCCACAGAACAGAACATCCTGTGTGTGATGTCACAGCAGGTTCTGTGTGGCCACTACCTGTGACATCACTGAGGGCATTATGGAGGTTGTGCCCAGCAGGGGCAGGGAAACTTCATTCTAAAAGAGATTCTGGCTCCACGCAGATCTCTCTGGCACAAGGATGCGTATGGGGAAGCCAGCAATGAGGAGACAACAGTCGTGTTAGCGGGGCCAGTGAAACCCTTTGCAGTTTTCCACTAAAGTCCCTGTGGGCATCTCTGAGCAGTTGCAGTGAGGTCATCTACCAGACCATCCCACACTGCTGTGCTCCTTCACACTGCCTAGCAATAAAAATAGCTTCAGGTCTGCCTGGAGAAGGATTACCGCATGGAGGACAACTGGGTGGCTGCCTTTAAAGGCCCCATGAGGGGCCCCATCTGGACCTAGGAAATGCAGGGAGGAAGGAATGTCACTTCACATGGGCCTAAACTGCACACAGCATGATGGCGTTAGACAGGCATTTGGTACTGCTGGAAACTTATGCAGTGCCATGTAGGGAGGGAACAAACGTGACATAAAGCTAGTTTGGGTTGCTTTCCTCTTGGACTGGCAAGGTCTGTACAGTATCTTGAGGGGACTCAACAGATTCCTTATCCTTGGTATTGCAACATAAAGAGGAAGAGATTGGGTTTAAACCTGAGAATTTGAATATTCTGTCACGCCAGTGTAACAGAGCTGGTCCTGTGGGCATTACACTGCTGGAAATCAGAGAAGAACCAAAATCAGCATTGGGAATGGGCCCTGGCCCATGCTAACGCCCGGTGCTCAGCCAGGAATTGCTGGGGGAGTGCGAGTTACTATAACCTCATAGTATGCAAAGGCACCTAGAATCATCGAATTGTTAGAGTTGGAAGGGACCTTAAAGATCATCAAGTTCCAAACTCCTGCCATGGGACACCTCTCACTAGACCAAGTTACTCAAAGGCCCATCCAGCCTGCCCTTGAACTCCTCCAGTGATGGGGCATCCACAGCTTCTCTGGGCAACCTGTTCCAGCCCCTCACCCCCCTCACAGTAAAGAATTTCTTCCTAATATCTTATCTAAATCTCCCCTCTTTCAGTTTAAAACCATTACCTCTCATCCTATCACTCTGCTCCCTCATAAAGAGTCCCTCCCCGTCTCTCCTGTAGGCCCCTTTTGGTACTGGACATCAGTACTTTAACAATAAAAAGACCCTAGTTTGAGTGCCTTGGAAACATTCCCTGCCACTGTTTAACCTGCTGTTATAGACATTGCCTCTGTGTACACTCAGAATTTAACTCCTTGCTGAGGGAGATTTCCCCAGAGTGTTTCCCCTAGTGCTCCTGTACATGGTTTTGTGCAGTTGCAACGAGGAGCAATCTGTGAAGCTTAGCACTATTACTGGCCGCTGATTTCTGAAAGCTTTGCTAGCTTTTAGAGAACTTGGTGGGCCTGGAAAGAAGTTGCAGTAGCTAGGGCAAAGCAGAGCTTGAGCAGCTCCAACACACAACTGTTTGCCACACAATGTAATATCATGGGCATCGTTTGTAGATAAGGAAAGTAAAGCAGAGAGGAAAAAGTCTGTACGTGTAGATATCGTGTTTGTGATTAAAAAAGTTTCTTCCAGAAAGCCAACTCCTAGAAAACCATTTTTATTCTCAGTCTGTGAACGCCCCTTGTTTACCCTGGGCTGTATCAAATCCTCTCATCTAACACTTTTCCTTGGCATCTTTTGATTCCCTCAGTCAGTAGCTGTGTTAACAGAACTATCTCTTCACCTTTTGGCAAGATGCTTTGTCATGATACTGCCATTATGTAAAATATCTCATTTCTTCTTTTCCAGTGAGGATCGGGTCATTGAACATTACAAGAAACTAAATGGTCAGACAAGAGGTCAAGCAATTGTGAAGTAAGTGAAACAACAGTGACTTCTTTTGACCTTTGTTTTATTGGGAAATACTTACAGTAGACTGTAAATACAATATGTAACGATGTCTCCCATCTCATCTAATGCTTTATTTTTTAGTATTTATGTACTTGATTATTTATTTATTTAAGCATTTTTCCCAGATCATCCTCTCAGCTTCTCAGATGTGTTATTCTCTTATGTGTTGTTTTGCAGTTACATGAGCATTGTAGAATCCCTCCCAACATATGGAGTGCATTATTACGCAGTAAAGGTACGTGCTACAAAAAAGGTCATGTATTGAATTAAACTGTTGTTGGAGAGGGAGAGAGGTACAAATAACCATCCTGCTTACAGAATACAATACACTGCTACTAAAGTCGTGTTTCACTTCCTGTGATAGGATAAACTTATTTCAACTGTGTAGTGAATGTTTACTAAATACAACTCCAAAGAGGAAAATCCTGTTCTTGGAGATAATACTCTTGAAGTCCTATTGTGATGGAGACATTCAGCCCACGAGCAGCAGTGAGCTCTGGTGATGCCCATGAGCCAGCACCAAAGGGATAAGCCAGCCACATTACTGGCAGAGTCAATGCTCCCCTCCTTTTTGTACATCCAGGAGCTCATACTTTTCCCAACCAACAGATGTATGAGCAGCTAACTAGGGCCAGCCATGACCTGCAGCCTGCAGCTCCCTTTGCTTGAGATATAGGTGGATGGATACAGATGTAGTACATCTTTTTAATGCCAAATCACTGTCCCATACTTTAGACACATCCCCCTCCCCAAACAGTTCTCCACTTATAACTATGTGGATTTCATTCAGGTATTCATGAAATCCCTCATTTTTTTTTTTGTCTAATGATTTATCACCAGATCTTCCAGTCTCATATTATTATTACTTCCCTGTCTGACCAGCTGTATAGGGTTGTTATTTTTTTTTAAGTAGAGAAATCAATAAACACATAAAGAAAGCTAGTTCCACACTCCCCAGAGCATATTCCCTCATTTATCACCCCTGAAGTTTTGATGTGTTTCATCATTATCTCTCTGCATAGATCATATGCTTTTTCATACATCTGTAATGTCTTGCACACATGGGGTACCATAAAGCCACAAATATCTGACAGTGCTTGTCTCAGGGAGATGCATTTCAGTCTGCTCCTGCTAATGTGCAGGGCATTTTGTGAAAAGCATTAGCCTCACCTTTTGCCAGAAGGCAGGATCCCTCCAGCACCCTTTGTATCCAGATCTCTTGGATTACTCTAGACCAAAAGAAACCTGGGTGACTGGGCTGGGTGTCCAACCCTGCAAACACCTGAGAGCTATTCCATGAACTCCCCGGGATCAATAAGTACCAGGGAGCAGCAATGAGGCAGCAGATATTGCGCGTAATAGGTTTTGCTTCTGCCTGATGTGGGGCTTTTGGTTTTGCTGCATTTTACTCTGCCATTCTCTATTGCATTAAGAGAACAGATGTAATTTCATTGAGGACTCCAGTTCAGTAAATTGCAAAGAGGCTGGTATCAGATATCAGCCATTACTCCATCAGGCCATTTTATTGCACACTCAGACACAAAGCAGTTGGGTCCAAGCCTGTCAGACCTTATCACTTGGTAGCTCTCAGATCCCATTACTGCTGCATTTTCAAGATTAATGCTAAAATCCCTCCACATAATTCAAGTCAGCTGGGTGATTCGCTTTCCTTCCTCTCCAATCTCTGGGAGTTCAGACTGAGTAATTTGCAGGGAAGAGAAAGGGGATGCACCACTGCACAAGGGACCCATGTCAAACCCCCCCGCTTCCCCTGGCAGCATTTTGAGTAACTTGACCACAGGTGATGCATTTTAAATGGTTTTATATGTTATAGCTAAAAGTGAAACAGATCTCTCCTAAACACCATGTGGCTTTGTGACTTGGGGAAATTCAGCAGGGATAAATTTAACAGCACTCATGACATTCAAAGACATTGCTTAGAAAAGAATCTTTGCCTTGAATAACAACTTTGGAAATCTCCAGTATTTCCCCATTCTATTCAATATAACTCCCTCTCTTTTTTCTTCCAGGACAAGCAGGGAATTCCTTGGTGGTTAGGACTTAGCTACAAGGGGATTTTTCAATATGACTACCATGACAAAGTGAAGCCAAGAAAGGTAAGTGTTTACTTTTCTATCAAGGTCTGGGCTTGCCATACGTGTTATAGCTTGATTTGAGGGTGTGATATATACCAAATACTGGCAATGATTCCTGTGATTTTGAAGGCTGTTGTTTCTCCCAAACTTGTATGAATGTCTGCAAAGAATTAATGGAAAAAGGTAGCTCTTAATTTATTAAATGTTGTGGTACAGGGCAAAATAAGCATCACTTAATCTTGCAACTTACGCTTCTTTTTTGCATGGTTCATTAGACATAAAGGAGAACTGAAGGCCTGATCCTCTCAGGTCCTGGAGACTTTCCATCCCCACTGGCTGTGGCGGGATTGAGGGTGCTCAGCCAGCCCCTGATTGTGTATTGTCAAGCCATAAATGATCCAAGAGGGAGAGGGAAGAAGGGACAGGAAAGCTTCTTCCATTTATTACAAACAGAAAAAATGGCATGATTTTCCCAGGACCAGCATGGCATTTGATAAGCAACAATTATATGAACTGAAGAGTTAGCGTCAAGCTAACAAGAAAAGAAAACTTTCATCACATGACTTAAAAAATAAGGCATTAAAAAGTTTGTGCCCAGTTTCTGATTTGTTTAGGAACTTTACTTTGAAATGGTTCACAAATCAAGGCATGGCATGCATAGATCTGACCCCTAGACCTTGGTCAGTGAGGACTAGCCATACTGGTCTCTTCATTACTATTTTTCGTGAGGCTTTCAGTGTATCTGAAAATCGGTATTTGTCTCAGTCCTTCCAAACTGCCTTTGAGAAATCCAGGTAAGGAATGTCCTGTTCATTTGGGAGGAGGAAGGTTCTGATCCCCTGAGCTCATCCTGCTAGGCGGATCCATGTGTTCTGATTTTCCTACCTAGGATGCCATCCGATAGAAAAAAGCTCATCTCTGAGCACATGCCCTGCAGGTGGGCATGCACAGTCTGTTAGCAACTGCATTTGTTGTACTGCAAGTCCATGGAGACATCAGGAGGCAAGGTTTCAGGCTTGCTTGCAGGCTGCAGAGCTGGACGATTTGGAGCAACTAGGAAGCTCTTCAATGGATGCAAATTCTTCCACACTGAATTAATTACTGCATTGCTCATTTGTCTTTGTGCCAAGGTCCTCCCTCCCTTTCTTTCACCTCCTCTGATTGCATTCAAGTTGGACATTTTCTGGTGCTCACAGATAGCATTTTCTATTAAACTAGAATCAAGGTTTTGGTAGAAAACGGTACTGCTAAGGAGGCAGCAGGAGAAAATAGGTGCATTGATTAGCCTTTTATTCACTGAAGGCTATTAATGGGGCTTTCTATTCATTGAAGAAAAGGATGAGGGGAGTAAGGGAGTTTCCACAGAGCATCTGTGCTCTAAAAGATGTATCTATTTGGGATCAATCATTACCTGCAGGGCAAGCCATACTCACACGTGATAGTTTGAAACATGCCTAGGCTAGGTATTTGCACCCACATACCTCCATTGGTGCCAACCCCCCAGGGAAGACATGTCCTTAAAACAAGCCTTCAGAAGTCAGTCTTAGTGACAGAAACATTTCTTTGGAGGAAAACTGTGTTCTGCCATGACAAGGACTCAGCCATTCACAATCTATAGCAATTTTTATCAAGCCTGATGGAATGAGAGTGTTGGTAGAGAGCATCAGAAGGAAAAAAAAAAGAGGTCAGGTACTTTGGCTGCATGAGAATAGACAGCTGTTTCCACTGGAAGACTCAAGCCTCCTTTCTTAATGTCTTTACTTTCTCTTCTTCTCAACCACTCAGGGTGATCTGGTTTATAGCATTAGTTTTAGAGCTTGATAACATCTTGGCCAGCCTCTCTGTGTCCCCACTAACCTTCCTCTCTCTCTTCCTAGAATCACAGACTATAGGCATAGCCTACTCTTTTTCTGCAAGTGTAGTCCTAAAAAATAGGGTGCCAGTTTTCTCTTTATTGGGAATTAGTGGGTTTTTTTCTCTCAGCACATTATGTACAAAATCCAGGAGACCCAAAACAATGGTGCTGCCTTACGTATAAACCACTGAGGACTTCTGTGGCTTAGCAGAAGTGGTCATAAATCTGGAAGGGAAGGTTGGGTGGGAAGGGAAAGCAGGAATTTCCGGGCTAGAATTTGTCCCTTGCCACAATCCAGAGACCACAGCAGTGAAAAGACAGCCTAGATGAGCATTTCTCTGTTACATGATGCTTGCAAACCCCATCTGTTGGCAGGGCTATTCCAAAATGTAGAGCCTAGATCTGGGACAGGACTTGGATAGAGTGGCTGAGGCTTCATTATTTCTCCATCATATGCTTTTACTCTCTGTAGAGCAAGTAAAAAGACTTCTTACCCTACACAGGTGGTAAAACCCCTCTGGCGAGAGCAGCTCAACTCCCTCAATGAGGTGCAATGTTTAATCCTTTGCTAATTAGATTGTAAAATTGCACTTGATAACCCTGGTATCTGGGAGCTTACCATAGTATCTGATTCATTTCACTGTACCAGCATGGGCTGGTTCAAGTCTTTGCTGTGCAAAGAGGAGGGGTAAACCTTACTGAACTTTCTGCAAGGTAAAATTAGAGGGGGAGGGGGAAGGAGATTATGTCTTTTCTGATCTTTATTATTTTGTTCCTGCACATTGCCAATGCCAGAAACAAATTGAAAAATTACAATGGAAAAATAAATCTCCCTGGAAGAAACACAAGCAGAAAATTGTAGCAAGAAACCATCTGAAACCAAGACATTTATATTAAATGCATATAAAAACCTTGCTTGTCTTATAAGGGAGATTGTAATGTTTTCCTATTATGTCATCCTAGATAGATTTCCATGCTTATTGTGTTTGCAAGTAAAACTGTAACCCACACTAAGCAGCTGAGCCTATCTCAGGCGATCCCATTAGCAGTCACTCAAAACCACATTTTTATTAAATTGCTGGAGTAAATCGGCCATGTGTCTCTAGAAAACTAACTAGGTTTGTCAGCAAGTTGGATGAGTCTGGAAAGGAGAATTAAGGCTGATGCGGGGCCAGAACTTGATCTTGCTTGTGCTATTCTCACTCAGGCGTAAGTCCTGCAGCATTTCTGGGGATGCAGCTGAGATGGGTATCTGGCACCTAGTCGGAGGTGGTTCAGATGGGAACACAGGGCTATTAAAATGGAATGCAGCTTGTGCTGGGCTGCAGAACCTAATGTGACTCTGTGCTTCTATTTTTATGTTCCCTCCTGCCTATACTTGAAATCTGTGGAAGCCCTGAAGCTACCCAAAGCCATCACTTTGAGGCTTACTGTCCTCCTTTCTGTTTTTCTCCTGTATGTTGAGGGGCTAGCTCACAGACTCAGCAAGCCCTGCCAAAGGCTTCCTCTTGAATGTTCCCTGTTTGAACCCAGATTTGGTCCGTATCTGTTATGATCAGATATAGACATTCATTCTTAGGTATTAAATAAATGCAAAAGTTCCAGTATACTTCACAAAATCCATCAGTGCAGCTGAACAAGATGGGAGTATCAAGTGTGGAAAGATAGCTGCTGCCCTGCTAACCATATGCTGAGGCATTCTGGAAGTTTCATAGTGGCTTGCAGAACCAGTGTCATTTTTGTAGCAGCAGTGCACAGCATCCAGGATGGGCAGAACCCAGCTCCCTCTATGTTAGTTAAGACCTAGCTTTTACAAACTCTTCCTTGTGAAGAGAAACGGCCCTTCAAGGATCAGTGTGCCTTGGAAAAGCACATCAAAAAGGAGTCGCTGGGCTCTACCCATCTTGGGTCAGCACCATCCAATATTCATGATAAACCAAAGCACATTCTTTGGAGCCAGGTCTTCAGATAGGACATGCCAGCACCACTCTCCCACAAGGCGCTAAGGCTGTAGTGACCAAACCCATCATTTTCAGAGAAGGGTAATTAGGGCTGGTTTTTCACTTGCATTGCAGAGCAATTAGAAAGAGTGAGCAAGGCACCGCAGACCCCCTGTGTGTCTATATTGTCCGTGAGTGGTGTTTGTTCATTTTAACCAGAAGGTAGGGATGTAACTCATCTTTATCCCCAGAGACCTGTACATGAAGTAGAAGCGGTGTAGCCTGGAGCTGTGAGACCAGCATGCTCAAGCAGTTGTAGTAGCACTAGGCATGTCAATGTTGTTCCAGTGAGATATTCCTACTGATTTAAGAGCCCAAAGGCATCTTTCAGTGCACACAGTTTAACAGTTAGTAAACAATTAACTCCAAGCTGAAGAGTGAATGATTAACAAAGTCAGCCAAAGGACTTCCATATGGCCAATAAACAGAGAAATGCTTTAACTTACCACCCAAAAATAAAACGACCTTAGTGGAGAGTCTGGTGGTGTTTGGTTCCTTTGCAAGAAATACCACTATATAGTGTTACCCCCTTTTCTTCCACACAAGGCTTGTGGCAGCAAAACTTAAGGTGAGCCTTTTTTCTCAGACTCATAAACATTATTAGTGTTTGCATTCTCTCGTTTACTGAAGAGAACCCAAGGGGAATAAAGACTTTTGGAAACAAGATAAAATGTGAGGCATCCCAAAATTCAGCTGTCAACGTAGCTTGACAAAGATTTTCCCTGTGACAGCCAAACATCAGTTTCTGCCATTTCTTCCCAGCGTTGTCCTTTCTCTGAGATGAAATGAAGCATGCTATGAAAATACTCTGTCCCTTGCCATAAGGTCTCCGCTGCGCTCTATGGCTTCTCATTACAGAAGAATTTAATTTGTAGTTTTGTTGTGAATCCACGACAGTAGTAATGGATTGACTTCCCATTTAAACATCCAAAAACAAGAACTGAGTTGGACCCATCTTACCAAGCAATACAGAGCACGTGTAAAATCAGTAGCTTTAAGTGTCTGATCAGAGAGAAATCACCTGCTTGTCGACAGCATGAGCAAAGTAATCAGCACACTGTGTCCTGAAAGTGAAAGATTGCTCTGTGATGTCACTTGGCCTTTTCCAAACAGCAAGAGATAGAGTGAACTTTCCCAATTCCAGAGGCAAAATGAGATATTTACAC